TCCATTTACCAGCGAATGATAACATTTCGTTTTTCTTCATGGCTGCATAAAATTCCATTGTGTATAGATACCACATTTTCTTAATCCATTCGTCAGTGCTGGGGCATCTTGGCTGTTTCCATAATTTGGCTAATGTGAATAATGCCGCAATAACCATGGGTGTACAGGTGCCTCTGGAGTAACCTGTGTCACAGTCTTTTGGGTATATTCCCAAGAGTGGTATTGCTGGATCAAATGGTAGATCAATGTTTAGTTTTTTAAGTAGCCTCCAAATTTTTTTCCAGAGTGGTTGTACTAGTTTGCATTCCCACCAACAATGTAAGAGGGTTCCTTTTTCCCCACATCCTTGCCAATAACTGTTGGTGGTGGTGTTCCCCATCACCTTTTTGAAGTTATTTTCCAGATAGGGTCTCATGCTTTTTACCCCTCCCCAACTTGGACCTTGATCCTCTTACCTTTGCCTCCCTGAGATTACAAATGTGTACCACAATGATCAATTTGTTTCTTTGAGATGTGGTCTGACTAATTTTTTGCCAACACCTATTGTTGGAGGTGTTGCTAATGATGGCTATTCTAACAGGGGTGAGGTGGAATCTTAGTGTGGTTTTAATTTGCATTTCCTTTATTGCTAGAGATGGTGAGCATTTTTTCATGTGTTTTTTGGCCATTTGAATTACTTCTTTTGAGAAAGTTCTGTTTAGTTCACTTGCCCATTTCTTTATTGGTTCATTAGTTTTGGGAGAATTTAGTTTTTAAGTTCCCTATATATTCTGATTATCAGTCCTTTTTTTTTTTCTCTCCTTTTATTTTATCATTTTTACATTTATTTACATGTGTATACATTGCCTGTGCCCCCTCCCCACAGCCCTTCCAACCCCCCACTTCCAGGAAGAAACTTCCCACCCTCTTCTCTGATTTTGTTGAAGAGAAAACATAAGAGATAACAAGAAGGATATCATTTTTGCTAGCTGAGATAAAGATAGCTATGCAGAAAGATTCCTAGCATTGCTTCCATGCACATTTGTATTACAACCCACATTGGTTCATCTCTACCAGACCTCTTCACTACTTCCCAGTCCCCTTCCCATAGTGGCCTCTGCCAATTTAAGATTACTTTATTTGCTCCTCAACAGGGAGCACATCAGTCACATTCAAGTTTTAGATTTCCTCTCTTTTCCCTATTTTGGGTAGGAGAGATTAGTGACCCTGCAATGGGAAATGTGGCAAGATAAGTTGTAATGACACATGAATAATTACACAAATAATTTAATTGTAAAATAGAAAGTGGAAATGGTCATTGTTACCTCTAATTGCTGCTTAGAGATAAATTAATGATTGCAATGGGAACTCAAATAAGTAGAGGAGTGCAGTTTGTGTACAGGTGGGAGCCCACCCTGCTAGGATGTGTTCCCTGAAGGACACTGAGGATAGAGGGCTTACACTTTTAACTGAAACACATTTATTTTTTGAGGGAATGAAAGAGAAATGTGAATAAACTAAGAAGAAATCAGGATAGTTTAGTCAAAAAAAAAGAATATGAGTAAAGATCTTTCTGTGTAAGCCCATTGTTTTTGTTGACTAGAAGTTTATGAGAGTTTGTACAAATTATGTTTATCACAATTATGAGAATGAGAATGAAAATGGATATTTGTTTAAACAGAATTATAGAAATATGAATAGCAGAAAATAATTTCTTAAGAAAATGAAAATTATAAGCTAGAACTTCCATGCAGAGAAGAGGGAAATATTAATCCTGTCAGAGGATGAGGAGATTATTGGAGACACAGAATCATGGATCATATAGGATCCTGTATCTAATTGGATCACTTGATCACAGGAAATAGCAATCCCATCTCCTTCTCAAAGACATGGAAAAAGGATTATAGAGGTATGGAAAATTAAAACTGATACAGAGGTAAAATCTGATATTTCCAAGGATCCTTTCTTTTCAGTTTGGTATCTTATGGAAATTTTGACCTCTTCTTCTGAGGAATGTGTTGGAAATCAAAAAAAATTAAACAAAATTTTCAGGATGTAAGTGTGGTTTACTTATGGTTTAGAGTGATTATTTTACCCTTGCTACATTGCAAATGACTACATGTTTAGCAGCTCAAGATAGCATCCACTTTTTAACAGGCAGTTCCGTAGACCTGCAGTCTGGGTGGGCATATTGCTTAGGGCTTCACTCAGCTGAAATCAAGAGGTCAACCACACTTGACTCAGACTGAGGCTCTAGGGGAGAGAATCTGCTTCCAGGCTCATTTGGACTGTTGAGAGAACTCAGTTGAAAAACTAAGGATCCAATTACGTGCTGGTCCACAGGTAGATCACTCCACTCTCAGGTTCTAGAGGTCACTACTAGTCCAGTTTCTTGCGACAGGAACTCTAATAGTTTGTGTCTGAACCCTTAGTTCATACCCTCAAGGCTAACAACAAAAATTCTTTAACCTCTCCTCTGTCCCTTTTCAGTGTCTCTGACTCTGTGACAGCCAAAACAAACTTTCTTTCTAAAAAAGTCATAGAGAATCTTTTGGCAAACTCAAGTTCAATTGAATAATGACGTTTGTTACCCTTACAAATTTCTTGTTGCTAAGAGAGTTGGTAAGCACGAAAGTGACATCATATTCTCAGTCCCCAGTATTAGAGTGGGAAGTCTTGGGATGCATTTTAAAATTTTGCTCAGAATAAATAACTAGAATTAAATTATAATATAGTTTATGTAAATCTAGTTCTCAAAATTTTGCATTCCTGAGCCTTAGATATTTCTTAGACTGTCACTGAAATGATAAAGAAATGCAGAAACCATACCAAGCATTTCTTAAATGTCCCATAGTATTTTGCAGTAGCTTAAATAAGTGAATAATTTTCTGACAACTGATATTTTCAATCACTTTCAACCAAAACCAAACTCTTAAAATAGTAAGTATTGTTTTGTGTGGGCTTTCTGCTTATATGTTTTAGTTCTAAGTCTGTGTGTTGAATCCTGGTGGTTTATACACTATTACTGTTGTTCATGAGATTCCATCTGTGTTCTAGCCTAGATCTCAGTGGGAGAATTCTTAGGGAAAATAAACGTGATAGAGGAAAATGTTGGTAATGAATACCAGGGTCAAAAAATGTGGTGTTCCTTCATCAGAGTGAGTAGCTTTTCTTGTACTTGCCAGATAATACTTTGATAAACTTTAAAGCAAGTCATATAGTTGGATTCTTTAGGAAATACTTGTTTCTACTAATGTGTTCTGGATGCTTAAACAGTGTCATAATGGAATATATAATAAAGTAGGTAATAATAATCTAAATGTATTAATCTTTAATGTGCTGGCACATTGAGTATTTCCAAAGTCCTTTGCATATGTTTTTTCAAAATATGAACAATGGTGCACATAAATTGTTGCTCTTATTTTCTGTACGAAAAAGCCAAGGTTTTCAAGTAACTTTCCTAATACCATGTCAAGGTTATGTATGTCAGAATCAAGATTCATGTTTGAGTATGCTGGACCTCAGCATCCAGGCCCTTTAGGATTACACTAAGTACTTGATAAATGGCATACTTCACAATAGCAGATACCAAATGTACAAAATAAAATCCCTTTGTTCTGACTCTCCTTTTTAGATTTGAAATTTTATATGGATTATTGTACATTTGGGTTGCTCTCCCTTTGCAGAAAGTAGCAGACACACCACCATGTTAAGCACCATAAAGGAATTTTGCTTATAATAACATTTGCTAAATTTAAGCTTGAAGGAAGCATTCTTTAAATTTAACATCTCAACTTGTTCTTTGAGAAATGCTAGCAAACAAAGATAAGAATTTAAAAGTTACTGCCAACTCATTTTAACATTTCTTTTTTGTTAGAAAAACATATTCTAAGAATTATATTTCAGAATGCCAACAATTTTTTTAATTTTGAATTTATAAATTTCAAAATCAACTTGCTTAATCCAAGTATTCTTTAAATGATAAGAATATTTGTCTTAGATGTACTGGGATTATTTCCCTCTGTGTTCTTCAATATGAAATGCTATCATTGGGTTGCATATTTAGCTATCATCTGTAAATTTATGCCAGTTACAACCCTCAGTCTTTCATTAAGCACAATAAAAATTTAAGTGCTCATTAAGTGAACAACAGAGGTACGTTTCATTCGTAAAGTAGCAGTATCAGCTGGTGCTCGTGCTTGGTCATGTGTTCTCCCAATTTGCTTTAGAGAAGTAAAGTTCACATATTGGATTATTTTACTCAGCAATAGCTTTAAGTGAAATGTTCTATTATTCATCACATCACCTTTTTGGAAAGGAGTTCAGACATTGCTAATATTATTCAAAAATATTAACAGCACTCCTATGGCTGTACCATTTATTTTGCTCATAAAGGCAAGTGAAGTACTTGACAACTAAGAATCGAGAAGCAAGTTAAATATCTGGAATGACTGTAGAAATGCAAGTAAGACCTAAATTCTTATTCTCTAGATTCAGTTCTGTGCCATAAGCATACCATATACTTGACCAATCAAAGTTTGAACCTACAAATGTACATGTCCAAAATTCTTGATTCTTTTGATGCAATTTCTTTCTTGAAAGGTAGGTCTGTACTTTTTGAGAAATCTTGGACTGTTAGTTTACAATACAGTGCAATATTATCAGACAATATAATGCAATGGGAGTTGTGTTTATTGCAACTTGATTTACCATTGTTTGCTCAGAAACAATGGATTTCAAACTACTCATAAGCAAGAAAGCCTGATTTTATTTGCTTCCTAATTATTCAAAGCCTTGTCACAGAGTAAATAGGTAGACTGTAGAACATTGTGGAGGTAAGAGCTTGCCCATTATCGATCATTATTTTAGTCTTAAACTTTTTGAAGATTTGAATTGGTAAGGTGCTTACACCAAAACAGTGGATCAACATAAGAGAATCATTCTAATTTCTACCTAGTGTCTGAATAGAGTCCTTAAAGGATTTGAATTTGCTGTTAATCAAATTTTTTGTCCATATTTAGTTATTACAGGGTAAGTCTCCCAAACCGGACAAGTGGGAACTTCTTCAGCTGGGCAGTGGTGGCGGAATGGTTGAGCAAGTCAGTGGAGACTGTGACGATGAAGACGGTTGTGGGGGATCAGGAAGCGGAGAAGTCAAGAGGACATTAAAAATCACAGACTGTAAGTGTATGGTTCTAACACCACTTTTAAAGAGTTGGTTCTGAAATATAATTTAAAATAACTATCACGATGAATGTAAAGAAATAAGGGCAATGAGTTCAGAAGCAGACAAGACTAATTGGAAATGAAAACGAGGCTATATGTAATTATTTAGAACATGCATTCTTGGGGGTTTTGTTTTTAAATAATAGCTTTCAAAAGAAATGACACTTTTCTGTGTGTATAGTTCTGAGAATTATGAAAGTATTGAAGTAGAATAATTCTTAGGACATAATAGATACTAAATATGTATTGATAATGTGAAACCACGATGAGCAAGTATTACTAAATAATCAAGTTGTGCAATTTTTAAATTATTATTATGTCACTTTGCAAGTTTTTACTCTATTGGGTTTCAACATAATCAAACTGCAAAAAAAAAAGAAAAAGATTGGACATGGTGGTAAATGTCTATAATTATAGCTACCTAGGAGGCATAGGTAGAAAGGTAGAATGACCACAGTCTGAGGCTGGTCCTAAACAAGAAAGAGGGAGATCCCATGTAAAATATTAATAAAACAAAAAACAGTTGGGGTGTGGGTTAACTGGTAGAACACTTGAGTTCAAGTCCCAGTACCACCAACAGAAGAATAAAAAGTCAAGAAATTGATAAATGTATGGTTAAAAATGATCAAAATTATTTGAATTTAATTCTTAGAATTTACCACTTTTGAAAAATCTCACTGAACACTCACTTTAATTTAATGGTATTATTGCACTGGTCACTATCACAAAAAATATAACTTTCAAATTAAAAGAAAAAGAAAAAATAATCACCAAATGGATTTCCTTTCATGGTCTTCACATATAAGAAATGTAAGTCCTACCAGCTCCATTGTTATGTTCATTTGTTCATATGGCACTATAAAGTGATCAACTGAGAAAGAAACATCAAAGCTAACGTACCTCAGCAGCTGGCTTTCAACTATACGATCTAAAGTAATCTGGATATGTGCAGCCCCACTTGCAGATTGATCAATGCTGGGCAAATCACACAGAGGTGCATTAGGCCTGTTACACATACCACTAGGTAGAACAAAAACTCATTGAATTTGTAGTTCTTTTGTAGTAAATTTAAAAATACTACAAATGCTTGAAACATCAATTTCCCATAACTTCTAAGATCCAGTTTTTTTAAAATTGTTTTTATTGTTGTACTGCCAGGGGGGCGGGGGCGTTCATTTACAAAAGTTCTTATAATGTATCATACTTGAATTCAGTCCCTCCAGTCATTCTCCTTTATCTCCTGCCCCACTCTATTCCGGGCATAGTTTCAACAGAAGATTTAATTATTTTTAAGCCAAATATTGATTAAAGGAATGGAAATAAAGGTACAAAATGCAGAAGACAGTTAACATAAAGAAATATGTTTTCCTGATAGTCATAAAAATACATTTTATTTAACATAAAAGGTAAAAAGATGAGAGTTTAGTAATTTGAACAGTAATAGAGGCAAGAAGCATGAAGTTCCTACTGCAAACTAAGTATATTCTATTCTTAGAGCAGAGATAAGACTATATGTTCTTATAATTGGTGTTGATTTAGCTTATCAGATTGGTTTTTCCCTTTATTCTTTCTTTGGATTAACAGACCAAAAGCACAGGAGAACAAAGTGAAAAAGAAAGGATTTTTATTAGTAAAAAAATGACTTCTGCTAAGAGATAAAAAGTCCTTTAATATGTTTTGGAAATATGTCTCTGATCCATTATGGTAATATTCAACTCAAAACCTTTTACTTCCTATATAGAGTGTTTATGTTTACTCATAACTGATCCATATTTAAATGTTAGCAAAATTTGAAGACATTAAAATTATTACCAAGAAGGAAAACAGGTTGAAATTAATCTATATAACATATGTGTATATATGTGCATGTGTGTGTAAAACTGAGATTTTTCACCTTCTGAAGTGTTTTATAAACTCAAGAGTTTTTTACAGATAACAGTTGGTTTGTTTCATAAGAGAAAGAGCCAGTGAAGGATATTTGGCTAATTTTTTCTCACAAGTCTAAGTATCAAGGTGGTTAGAATGAATTTTTTACTTGAAAATCTTGGTTTCAATTACTTCTGAAGTGGACAGGTATGGTATTCATCAAAAATTGGAGCGATTAAGAAATAGATGATTTTGAGATACTCCAAGCCAACATTAAAAAAAAAAATCCACATCTGCTTACTCTAAGTAGGTTGCCTATTATGTTTCTAAGAGTTTATAGTTGTTGCCTTTAATTTTTAATAAGTGGTTAGGAAACCACTGTGGATAGCACACTGAGATAAGGAGGGCTAAGTCAAGTAGCAAAGTATTGGTCACATACCTATTTTTATAGAGCACTGTAATAATTTACCTATTTCTGGCTAATTTGATACGTTGGTAAAACAAGTTAAGATACAGTTTTGGATATCTTTAAAGACCTAAAAATATTGCACTCTAAAAAGTTTACTGGAGTGTTACTTATGGTAAGGACTTGGAATGTGCCATATTTAATGCTTATTCCTTATAAAATACAATATAAGTAGGTCACATTTGATCTGTAACCTTCAAAAGTCTGATTAGGAGTAGTTTTAGGCTGGTGTGGGGTGCATCCACCTAGATACTCAGAAAGTGGAAATTGGTAGGATTTTGTCAGAGGTGGGTGTTGCCCAAAGCATGAGACCATACCTGAAAAATAATTAAAGCAAAAGGCGATGGGAGTGTGTGGCTCAACTAGTAGAGTACCTGCATAGCAAGCAAAAGGCCCTGAGTTCAAATCCCTGTACCTCCAAATATGCAGAAAGTTTTATATATTAGCTGCATGTAATTATAAGGAGCAATACTACTATTGTGTCTTAATTAATGAATCATTCTACTCAATTTATGGAAATATACAAAGCTGATGAATATTTTCCTAATTACACTTGAACTGATATTTTGTTTTTGCTTCTCTTTCATGTTTCAGTAAAAGGGTATTTATGTACTTTAAAGTACAGTTTTACCACCAAAATATTTATGTATCTTTTGTGTCATTTTGTTTTCATCACCAATATTATAAAGTATTTAATATTTCTTATATATTTTAAACTATCTCTAGTTGTAATCTTACCTATATACTGTTATTGTTAGCTAATATGCTTCTTATAAAAAGCCATATATACTACATAGTTTTCATTCATAAGAACTAAAAGTATTTTCCTCTTTCAGTAAAGTGGTTTCAAAAATCCCAGTAATAGAGATATTTCTCTACATTTTTTATTATATTTAAGTTGGCTCTTTTATACAGATATGGATATTTCACTAATAATGTGGAATTATTGGATTGGCAAGGCTTGGAACCTTCATTTTGTCTCCTCTCACTCCACCTGACACCTGGCATACTTTCACAGTAACTAAAATCATGTAACTTATAAATACCAATATGAAAAAATTTTCAAGGCATACAGAACAAACACAGCATTACTAAAATCAATATCTTGTAAACAGTTTTACTATCTTAATGTCTCTAATTCTTGATAGCTCCAAGTGTTTTAGAAACTAATCTGACTGCTACTAGGGATAGGTTATAAGAAAACTTTTGCATGGATAATTTTGAAAATATATTGTAACATTGCTTACCATTATTTTGTGATATTATGATTTAAATTGCAATGGTTCTACTTTTAAATAATAATGCCAGACCAGTGGCTCACATCTATAATCCTAGCTACTCAGGAGGAGGTTCATGGTTTGAAGTCAACCCAGGAAAATAGTGTGCAAGACCCTATCTCGAAAAATCCCATCACAAAAACAGCTGGTTGAGTGTCTCAAGATGTAGGGGTATGAGTTCAAATCCAGTCCCACAAATAAGTAAACTACTAAATAAATAAAATAAAATGTACGTTACCTATGAGCAAGTTCATTTTGATAAGATAGTTCTCAGTAATAATCTCAGGCAACATAAATTTGAACCCAAGGTAATTCAAATGCCATACATTCAGAAATTTTGAGACCTCGATTTCTTGAAAAATTAAACTCTATCTTTTCCTTATACAATATTATGTGGAATGTTTATCAGTTTTAAAGATATTTTACTTTCATTGAATAACTTGAAAATGTGATCAGTCCCTGTTCAGTGTCTGTGTACTAATAAAGCCGACCCTAGTGTTGGCATCTAAGATTTGCTGTAGAGCAGTGATGAACAGATCTCAAACAGACTGGACCATTCCAGTACTGAGGAAGCCTTCCAAACGCTAGGCTCTCCTGAATGGTCTGCTAGTAACTCATTCAAGATCTCTCTTTAGAAGATCTTTAAGTTATATTCTTCTTACTTCATGGAATATCACTTCTCTCCTTTACAAGTTACTTGTCATCATTCCAAATTCTAAATATTTAAAGAAAGATGAATTCAGTTCATAATCCTTTTATCAACTTTATTTACATCTATCTCTTTATTATTATTTATTTATTATTTGCCATAATACCAATAATTTTAAGGTGCACTATCTAGTTCATAAAAAAATTTGCAGATGACATCTCAGGAAGTAAGCATTTTGAAGCAGAAAGTGCTCTCCTTAAAAAAAGATTAATTTATAAGTAGATGAAAAATATATTAGATTGTTAAGTTGTCAGATCTAGAAAGAATTTTTGGTTGATCTTCTATAGTCCAAAATGAATAGAAATATTGTTTAAATTGTACTTTGTATTTCCCACTTAGTAACCTTGTATCAATCAACCTCTCACGAATGAATCTGCATCATGATACTGAGAATGACCTTGTAAGAGAATGTTGTATTCCATGTGCACACTAAAATAAAAAAAAAATGGCCCTTTGTTAGCTACTGAAGAATAAAGGGTTTTGATTTATTTAGTAGTGCAGGCTTGCAGAGTGACTGAAAATTCTTGGTTTTCTCACAGCTATTTTGACCATAAATCACATCACTTCAAAATCTCAGCCATGGAGGTTAGGGAGAGCTCAAAATATACAACTTTATTTTTATTTCCACAACTGCAAAAACTATGTATTTATTTAGGTTGCAGAAATTATTTCATATAATTT